CTCACCGCCGCGTCCGGTGGCGGTGAGCGGAGCGTCCTCGCGCGCCCTCGCGCCGCTCCGGGCTTCGGCAGGTCTCTAGCAGTTTCTCACGTGCTTTCTGTGCATGACTTGAGATAGTAAATTTGGCAAGTCAGATCCTGAACTTCTTGTGTTTTCTTCGTCTCTCAAGTTGCTCAAGACTTTTTTGGCCTGATGTAGGGCTTGTCTGTACAGTGACACTGGGGAAAATAGCCAGGAGTCACTCTAGGTGTGACATGCACCCGCTTTCGCTGAGCGCCGGGAGCTGACTCAGGGCGCTGCCCCAGCCCCCACGTGCCCCGACGCTGCCATCGGGGCTCTGCCCGCCCGTGTCGGGACGTGGGAAGGCAGAGCCTCCACGGCTGTGCCCGGCACCCATCCGGCACCGCCGCTGCTGTCCGCGGCCGCAAGGCGGGCGCCCTGCCCGGGCCCTGTTCCGCGGGAGGCTCGCGGGGCAGTTCCTTCCTCCTGAATTCCCCTCTGAAGGAAGATGCATGATCTGCATTTCTCTTAGCCACATGTAAGAGCAGGGTGCTACCTTGATCTTGGCCTTTGAAAACTTCAGGGAGCAGCTTGCTGAGCTGCCAGGCACGGCCTGGCCGCGGGCTTGGGAGCAGCGCTGTGAGCTCCTGTGCGTGATCTCCTCAAGTGCTCTCGGGCTCCGTGAGATTTCGTCTCCAGGGGACCGGGGACGGGCAGCTCTGGAGGCCTGGCTGGTTATTTTGTATTAAAAACAAACAAACAAACAAACAAAGTACAGGTTTGGCTGTTTTTTCTAAACATTCTGGGTCCATGTGCTGTGAGGGGACATTCCTGTGACAACGTGAAAACGCCGTAAGCGGGAGGCAGGCGTGCGCGGGGCCTTGCACTGCCTGAAGCCCCTGCCTCGAGGAAGCAGCTCCCGGCCCTGCTCTGCCCAGCGCCGCGGGAGGCGGCTCCGGCGGCTCCGCATCCCCTCCCTGCCCTCGTCCTTCCCCATCCCCCTGGATTCCCGGCAGTGGGCCCGGCGCTGCCGCCGCGTTGGCTCTTTGGGATGTGCCGTTCGGCAGGCACTGAAAAGGTTACTCCTGGCTTTATCTCTCTGCCTAGTTTGTGGTTGGAGACCTGTATGTTGTTTGTGGGTTTCTTACGTGCGTCACTGAACCCAGAAGTTTTATTATCTTCTCAGAATAGGGTTTTGCAACAGCTCAGCTATTAAAGCCAAACCATGCAGTTTAGTGAAAAGTCTGGGCAGGAAGTAACAAAATGAGATTCATCCTAGGGGAGAACGTGGTCTATCTGGGGTGGGAAGAGAATGCAGATGGACTATTTATAGGAATAGAGGAAAACAGCTTTGGGCATGAAGAGTAAATGCATGGAGCTGGCATGGGAAAAGCAGACCTGGCATTCTAAGATACTCAGGTCCATGCTGCCTGGCTGCTTGTCCAGTGAAGAGGAAAAGCCTGCCGTTGCGATCCATGTTGCTGTGCGTGCTTCATGCTGTGCCCTTTAGGCGTTTGTGCCAGGGATGAGCCTCAAGTGCAGTATTTGGAGCCCTGTTATGTTAAGCAGCACAAAATTAGGTGAAACAGCACCGGCTCCGGGGAGCTTGTGCAGGGCGAAGGGGTGAGACGCGCGCGGCCTGGGAGGGGACAGGGACCGCGCAGGGTGCGGAGGCGGCGCCGTCACCCGCCGTCGAGCGGGATGCTCCGGGCACGGGAGCCCGGGCGAGCGCACGGCACCGAGCGCGCAGGGCAGCCACCTCTGTGGGCACCTCGTTCTGGTGGACAGCTTCTTTTTACTGTGATTGCTGCTTGTAAAGAGAGGGTAAGTCCATTCCACCTTCCCCACCGGGTTGAGATTCCCAACCCTTTTCTTGCTGCTGTCGCTGCGGGCGGCTCCCTGCTTTGCATGGGATCGTGTCCTGCTTTCAAGGATTTGCATATTCCTCGTGCAGCTCATAACTGACGTGTTAGGAAGTTACGGGTAGAAGGTTCCTCTGGTTTCAGCTGGGTGGTCAGACTGCAAATGCAAAGCAGTGGCTGAGTCTTCCAGGATGCCGCAGTCCTTCAGAGCAGCGGCCTCTCCCGGGAGCGACGCGGCTGCGTGTCCCTGTGCCCTGCAGAAGGGTCTGCGCTAGCTCCCGTGCTGGCATTAACGCGTCTCAGGCTGCGCCGCGCTGCTCGCCGAACCCGGCGCGTGGGCAGGACGAACGTTGCGAGCAGCCAGGCTGCCCCCGGAGCAAAGCCCTGCACCAGCAGCGCGGGGAG